ATAGGTCGGTAATTCTTGGAATAAAGAACCAGGGAAGTAAGCTGTTTAAAACTCATTTATTGAACATGACATAAAAATCACGATACATAATAATGATAAACCGAGGTCTATTGTAAGCTTCAAAAACTTTGATACATTATTCATTTATAATTTTCCAGTGCAATATGGCGCGCGCGCGCGCGCGCATGTATGTATTGTGTTGTATTGTGTTGTGTGGTGTGTGAACTCTCTATCAAACTCTAACAGATGAATACTTTATACATGTATGTATAATCATTACGCATGGAATGTGCACCCATTTTCTTGCTTTCGCTCGCATCTCTCTAAGAAATTCGAATAATTAGCAATCTCGACGACAATATCGACTACCCAACTTTATCCTCGTGAAAGTGATTCTTTACTTGAATTTCGATTTCATGGCAACACTTCATCTCATAATTAGGTATAAATTTTTCTCTAGCAAATCATCCAATTAAAAACTTATATCTCGCGTACACAGAGAACAGATGTTTTACAAAAGGAGTCTTATTGAGAGAAACAGCGTTAATAATAAAGCCGATAATAAAGTTTGAATCAATAAACGACAAAGAACGGAGTTATTGATTTCCGATTTATACACGGGTGTACTTATACACAGAAAAAAAGATTTTCTCTGCCGCAGCTAATCTTAGTTTGTTATAATATATTTGCAGCCGTAACTATAAATTTATAAACTACAGCGAAATTTGCTGTGGCTGCTATAATATAGATATCACAGCTAAGACATTAGCTATATATCTATATTCTGGCTGTCCATATTTTACATCTGCCATTTAGTTACCACATGCAGTTTTTAATTATGACAGTTACTTTTTTTTCCGTGTATACATGGAGTCACTGCAGTGTTCATCGTTATAATCCTGTTCTAACTTTTATTAAGACTTACTACAAATATTTTATCTGATATTTTTATTTGCCTGAAGAAAAATACCAGAATCATGATTTTGTAAATATTAATTAATGTATCGTTCAGAATGTATCTCTTCTTTACATCGTTTATTCTGATTTACAATCATTCCGTTGCATGTTGTGAAAAAACTCGGAGAAAATCAAACAGACTCCGAAATCTTAATCGATCGTTGGCGAATCGGTATCGTCGTCGGCGCTGAAGTCCTACGGAAAAGAAAGAAGCGAACGGATTCGCTCTACAACGGAAGCTATCCGTCGAAAAATAAATATGTAATGTAGACTCGAGAGATAGTGTATGAGTGGAAGGAGAGAATATGAGACGGCTTGATCCGAGCGCGCCGCCACGTGAGTGGGAGATCCGATCGGGCCCCACCGCTCTACGCTACTTTTTTTTTTTTGCTTTTATAATCGTGGGCTTTTGGCAGTGATATTCAATCGTCGTGACTGAGGAGAAAATACCTAATTGATCGGCGACGTTGGACTTTGTCGAAGTAACGACAAGTATTACTTTTATGAGAAACACATTTTTCTTTTTTTTCGAGGCAAACGAATTTTTATTAAATGAAATACTTTAGACTACAGAGATAATTTGACCGTTAGTGGAAATTAATAATCCCTTTCCGTTCCTGTATTGCATGTATATTGTCAAAAAGATAATTTCCATACGGCGATTTTAATATCATGTTGACTTTTGCTGAAAGAATCGATGCTGCAAAGAGAAAGGAAACGGTGCGGGGAAACGTTTCTCGCTCTATAAATTTGCAAAGATTTTGGCACTTCTCCTCAAACACGCAATAAAAATCCGCTCAAAATGTCCCGAGTGAAGTATAACAAATAACCATAAAACAGTAGTAGTAATACAAAAAATAGTCAAGTCGTTGCGTAATAAATAATATATACATATACATTTATTACGCGTATGCATACATATATATTATTTATTATATATATATCTATTATATATATATGTATACATATATCTCTGCACGTGTATAGCTTTGCAATCGCATTGCGACCGTAGAATGAAAGTGGATCGAGAAATCGTGGCGTTAAACAAAAAAAATATGTCCCTTTCGATAAATAAAGACGTGAAACAAAGTGAGAACAGATACAGGAACATCTAATATGAAGTTTAATATATATTTCGTTAAGAAGTGAAAAAAAGTCCCAATCCACGTTTACTCCGCGGTCCGAGGCCGCCGTAATATGAATAAGATCGTATATATTTTATATCTCATCAATTTCTAAATTCTAATAACACTATTTTTTTCTAATCAGTACGAATCAACCGACGAAACCCTGGGAACGTGTGCACGAAATTGAATCGCGGTGTCCAGCTCACATTAATAACAGTATCGATTTGAAAAATACGAAACAAGTAAGCGTCAAGACATGCAAATAAAAATAAATTTAAAAATCGAAAATAATAAAATCATATAATCAATGGAATCAACTGTTGTCAAATTTGTCACAGCAGATCCAAGTATCAAAAAGCTTCAAACTAAAAATTTGTGGCTTCCAATTTAATCATTAACATGAACTTAATGTGACATTATAGAAGTTTTCCCGGAAGGCATAATATTATTATATATAAATATGTTATATATAACATATCTGCAATATATACGAATTAGATTTAATATGATTCCGTCGAACATCGCGTGTCCCAACGTTTCGCCCAGCACCACCCTATATTTATCGATATTTATACTTTTATCTCTGCGTTTTTTTGTTTCACTAAAGCAGTCTTACATAAAGCGGCAACTTTTGGAAATTATTCGCTTCCATACGCAAAATGATTTGCCAATCTGCTTTACCGCATCGAGCAACATTCGGTTTTGTAAATAATCCTCTTTTTCTTTTTCTTCTAGTCTCCCCCTCTCTCTTTCTCTCTCTCTCTCTCTCTCTCCCTTTCCCCATTTTCTTCATCTTCATCCCCCTGCTGTCCTCACCCGAAGAGAGAAATGCAGGTTGAGCTGCGCAAATTTTCAAAATTTTCCGCGTGATGTCTACCGACTAAGCTTTCTCTTAAATCTGACGTAAGTCCGAAAGCGCGAATCAATGTATGTTAATCTGCTCTTTCTTACATTATAATGAACTTAAAGGATTTCACTTCTTTTAGCAAATCGAATTAAGTCGGCTTCTGTGCCGAGCAGATGTTACTTTTAAAATCTGTTTTGCAATTCTGAAAATAAATGATGAACTTCCACAATATTTTCTTACAGACAAATGTAATCGATGGACGCTTTCGGAGTTTCAGACTCTTAATATTATGTACACGTTAAGACGGACGTAAACGACTTCAAATGCTCGTGTACCAGAATTCCTTCGTCTTTCTCGAAAAACTCCGAAAGCAACGCTCTTTTTCTTTCTTAAGAAACAAATTTATCGGAAATTTTCTCCTTATTTGGAGCACTCTCGTGTTGTTTAGCCCAACCAAAAATGAATTCCTCATTTTAACGCTTTCAAAGAACGCGAGTCCACGACCGATGAAGAATCGAAGTGTTCGTACGAATCTCGTCCTAACTATATCCGCCCTCTAATCCCCTTAATCGTTGCAGAGTAATTCTACCTTATAGCTTACGGTATCACAGAGTTACACGCGGCATCGCTTAATTGCTCCCAGTTCGTAATCGCCGATACGCAACCGATAGAAAAAAAGCACGCAAATTATGCCCATCGCGGGGAAAAATCAGAGCATCTGTCAACGGACGCGAAGAACATCGAGTGTTAATTTTACAAATAAATCAATTTAAATTTATTGTTTAATCACTGAAAGAAATTTAATTAAAATTTATATAATAGTTAAAATTTACACAATTTCGAAATTTCTGCGCAATATATTTACTTAATATTTGTTGTATTTTGAACTAAAGAAATTCGTTACTTGACTTTTTTATTCATTTATCATTTATTATTAAATACTTTGAACTTCAGGCAGATAGCAGGTCAAATCTTATTTCGAAATAAGAACTTAGAGATATATATATTCTCAAACTTTCTTGGGAGGTCAAATGACCCCAATGACCACGAAGAATTAATCAACTAACGCGTAAAAAACAAATCTTTTTCCAATTATCAGCTATGTAAAAAAAATATCTTCGTAAAATGATGTCTCGGAGAAAAAGGAGATGTATCTCTTCAAACGGAAATCTCTCATGACGAAGTTAACGCTCCTTCTTTGTAACACTCGAAGTCCTTTGCACATGCGATCTGCAAAGAGCACGTCCCTTCCCGCACCTCCTTCCCTCCGACCGACTCAACTTGTAACGCGAAACAATACACTATATAGATATATATATATTATATATTACATGTGAAAAAATTAACAAGCGCTCTATAGCGACGACGCGAAACAACAAATACGAATAACTCGGGCGCGCGAGGAATATCTCGAGGGGGAAAACGTTGTCTACATCTTCGATGGCAAGCGAGTGGCGAAAATTCGTTCAAAAAAATATCTTCGTCCAGCCCGCGCGCGATTTGAGAAAAGCAGAGTCCATGAAACGATAGCGCTCGCAAATCGCGCCTCTTACAATGCGACACGCGTACATCGCGGAATGCATCATTAATGGTACCGGATGCATCTGTCATGCTTCCCCATATAGGCCGCGCCGTGCACTTTAGCGCTATCGTATCGTACGCGATACAACACGGAGGAAGCAGCAATATATCGTTTGATAAGCTGATATGCGTCAGTAATTATTCGATAAGTTTCTGATTTTCTTGAAAAACAGTCGCGAAAAATTAAGAAAGTTCTAGCGTTTGTGTGATAAAGTACAAATATAAAGCAAGTCTATAATACTCGAGTCATTTAGATTCGCAGAATGCGATTTTTCTTAATCCTGGAAAGTTCAAATTTTTCTTACACTAACATTACTCTGAGTAAAAATTTACTTACACTAATTAAGAACTTTTTACACTCTCTTTGTCTACTTTATGTAGGTTGCAAGATGTAGAGAAAAACTGAATTATTTTTGTAGAAAAGAGAACTTTAATGTTAAACAATTTTATCAAATATTATTTCAAGTTATCAAAATTTAATAAAATATTTTAATAATAAAAATTGTACTGAATTTAAAGTAGGGATGAAAATTTACCCACAGTAACATTCCAGGGGAAAACCTTTTCCGCGATGGTACTTGAATTTTTATGTACTCCGAAGCTATTTTTCAGATATCAAAGCACATTACTCGACGCATCAGTTCTACGCGAAAAATGTTCCTCGTATTATATTCCGCCGCGATTGTATTCCATGAAGATTTCCTGAAGGGGAGCGCGGAAAACGAGATCCGCGTAGAGCAAACGCGCTTACAAGGATACGTAAGTATAATTACAACTGATATACATAAATTTGCGACGTTGAATAGGAATATGTACGTGAAAATAAATCAAATCTCTTAGGCTTCGCACGCTCGGTGACCCGAAGTGAGCAAGTTGCGCACATTTATTACGCGGCCCTGAATTACACGCACATATACGCACAGTATCCTTCCTCTGCACGACGAAATCCGATCCCGCAAAGGCGAGAAACTGCCGTTGCTGCTTCCGGCACGCAAACTCGAACCTAATCCGAACAACAACGAATGAGCCTCGCCACTGTTTGACATTATGATAAAAACTACATTTTCGCGGCGCTTCTTACGCTAGTGACTCTCTCTTTGCACGTTGGCCCGTATTTCTCGCCGCGCATCTCGTGCCGATTCTGTCCTCATTCCATGTCGAATATATATATATATATATATATACTTCACGTATCAATTAAGCAAATAAATAACGCAATCAGAACAGAGTCGCGCTTAACGTGCAAAGAGTATGAGCCTCTATCTTTAAAAAGGTTTTGCATGACGTACTGATTAGAGAACGCTTTTCAGTCTAGGTTGCGAGAAAGTTAATTGGATATTACGATTGGAGAGACGCGGTTTTGTTTCCACGGTTAACGTGTTTCACGCGATGATAATTTGGCGAAGAAATAATAAACGCATCAAGAGGATGCCTAAAAGATGCCGGAAAGATTGGGAGGTTTAGAGAAAACACTTTAAACATAAAACACTGTTTTGATATTTTAGATTTTTATATCAGTTTATATCAGTATATCAGATTTCTTTCAGGCATCTTCACGTCGTCCTTCAGTATTATTTTTCCACCACAGAAACCGGAAACATTTTCGCGCCCGCTAAATAATAAACGCATCAGCATCAAAAGGATGTCTAAAAGATACTCGAAAGATGCTGGAAAATTTGAAAGGTTTAGAGGAACATTTGAGACATCAGAAAAAAAATGGTTTTTAAATTAGTTTATATTAAATTATATATCAGATTTCTTTCGGGCATCTTTATGATATCCTTCAGGTATTACTTTTCCTCCACGGAAACCAGAAATATCTTCGCGTCCGCAAAATAAACGCACCAGCATCAAAAGGATGTCTAAAAGATACTCGAAAGATGCTGGAAAATTTAGAAGGTTTAGAGGAACATTTGAGACATCAGAAAAAAAATGGTTTTATATTAGTTTATATTAAATTATATATCAGATTTCTTTCGGGCATCTTTATGATATCCTTCATTACTTTTCATCCACGGAAACACCTTCGCGCCCGCTGAATGTCTTTCTCTCTTCGATCTTCGTTCCCGATCGTCCTACGTTAAGAACGTATATAGTGCAACGCGCACAAGAAATCGCGCGCGATGAAGGAACTTAACATTTAGGTCTGGCAACTCAAGTGACTTTATTCCGTATAACCGACCGACCGCGAGCCTGTGACATTCAACGTGCGAGACATCTCGCGATTTGTGCGAGATCTCGATATTGTAATCCTGTTTTTATCATTATGTACCTCACTTCCTCCGTCGCCGACTCCTCCATCCTTCACGATTGTCCTTTGACTTTCGATGATCTTCGATGATTCCTTGAAATCTCCTCGATCAACATCGATCGACCGATCGGCTGCGATCCCACTGTCCTCCCAGCTCCTCCTTTTCTTTTGCTCTTTCTCACGCCATCTTAAACAGATTCTCAAATTGGAGAACGTAAAATCAGAGCTTTGCGCTATATTGGCTCATCGATATTGCTTTGGCTTTTATACATCGGCGTTGTCGCGGAACGCATATCATCTTAAAAATGTTGTCCAAAAGAACGTCCCAAGCATCTCTTCGTCCTCTCGAGCACTCACCAATGCTGCGCCATCGTCCGATCGTTCGATCGAGGTCTCTCGATCCATGAGGATTCTTGACATGATCGACTGTCAACATCCAGCGAGCCGAACACAACGGATCGAGGATCGTTCAACCAACTCCTCCTCTTCCTTGCTTGTGCTGGGCTAACAAACTTGAACGTGCTCGCTTTCGAGCTGAACGTGTGCGAACTCCCTTCTCCTCCTTCAGACATCCGCGCATTTTTTCCTCTCTCTCTCTCTCGATCATACTCTCTCGCATATTCGCACATGTTCCTCGTTGCTCTCGTTTCCTCCGTCATTATCATCTCTTTCTTTCCCCTTTCTCTTTCTTCTTTACCAAGCTGAAGGCGGATCCGGACACGAGCGCGCCGCCACGTTGCTGCTCGACTCGGATACGGTAACGGGTGCCGAAGTGCGTCGGATCTCGATCGGTTTCGAGCCGGACGCGGGTGGCCGGCCCAAAACCCCTTGACTGTTTCACGATAGGTTCCGTTGATCCTCCGCGCAATCTTCCGCCTTCTTCAGCGAGCGCTTCAGCTTATCCACCAATCGGTTATGGAACTTGTTGAGGGAGCTCGAACTGCCGGTCTTCGGCGGCGACGTGCTCGTGCTCTTGCTCGGGCTCTGGAGAGAGCTCTGCGACGCCCTTGAGGACGTCCTCGAGAAGTGCCGCGAGGTCAGCGGCACGGACCGATGCGCCGGCGAGGTAAGAAAGTCGGAACCGGGGGAGGTCGACAACGACGGTCCCTCCGACTTGGAACACTCGGACACCTACGATCAAAAAAACGTACGTTCCGGATTATGGGAAAAATTTCCTGGGTAAGATTTTTCCATGTCTTATCGTGTGCATTATTGGCATCAAGATAATAGAAAATTTATAATATTTTTATTAAGTGTTTGCAAAAATTCGTGAAGTCGATGTTACTAGAATGTATTGTAAAGTAATTATTATTATTGAAATTGTAAATGCGTCATATTTATTTCACCAAATCAGGATTATTGTATTAACATTTTAATGGCTATTGTTTGTTTCTAAAGCGTTGGATAATTTATCAACGCGCAACGACGAATCATCAACCATAATCGAAATTATTAGCGAATCACTATTCCATCATCATTATTTACAATTACAGTCTTTACTCGCGTAATTTGCCTTTCAATCCGACGGCTTTCATCCAGATTCTATTCTAACATTCGTCACGAAATCACGACCAAGTGCAATCATCGTCGCGATAACGACAGATTTCGCGCACCCACTTTGTCGAAGTCATTCGTCTGTTATTTATTGCGCGAACGGTGAAAGCTATGACGAACTCTGCGAGACCACTTTAACATGTGCGAGTATAATAGGACATATCTAAATGAAATCCTATTAACACCGAACATCCTTCATTTTTTATCTTCTCTCCAGATCAAAATCTATAACAGGGTTGCTACAAATTTCTCATTTTTAAATTCCATAACTTTTTCCTGATTTCTCTGACTATTTTCAATTTTCCTGGCATTCCCTGATTTTAATACCTGGATAATTAAAAATCTGATGTTGACAGACATTAGTTAATCTTTCAATTGGCAATTAATTTGATATACATGTAAAAAATTTCATTACATTCTTGTACAAAGAGAGAGATTGTTTCAACAGATTACCTTTTAAACATTCATTTTCATTATTTATAATACTATTTTTTTTATATTCGCGTAATTAATAATTAAATAATGATTTTCATCCAATAAACTTCGCGCTGTAAATGATGCGATCAAATAAAAAAAATTAGAAATTTGTTTTTATTTATATTATATATAAAATATATTACAAATAATTCCACCATTCATCCAAGTTACTTCAATTTAATTTATTACCTCTGATATACTAAGTCAAGACGATTCAAAATATCAAATAGATTTAAAGTATTGTACTTGGGCTTTTAACGATAAGATACCAATTCAAATATGATTCATGCAATATTCGTACTTATACTGATAAGATGTTAAAGACCGAAAAAGAATGCATTTGGAAGCACCGAGTAATAATATTTTGGAAACTAACCCGCAACTTCCTTTAATCAGCATTTATGTCCAAATATGTACCTAACGTTAACGTCAAGAGAATCGCGATAACGGCAATAACTGTAACGGGTGCGCAATTAATTCGCACGACAACACGCATCTATCATTTCTCTCACAAATGAAACGTGTGCAATTCCCATGCGACAATAACGATGTCATTTGGCTAATTGATTTGCGTGTTTGCGAGATTGTCGAGCGCGAACTGGCCGAGTCATCCTGAATTATTCAGCGCCGATGTAGTGTCTATATCGTACGTATGATGCATACATATATATTTGACACGCAACGCGTACGTGCCCTTTTCCACGTACGGTCTACGTCGGACTTGAAACCACGTGCTCGTCGTGTCATCGCGGTAAGAGGTAAGTGGCTGATTACTGATTAGGTCAGATTTGTTTCATGTGTCTCCTTCTTTTTACACATACATACAGTGACGACAAGCGAGCAAAATCGATAGGCGCTAACTCAGACAGTAATTCTCATATTTTCTGAAATAGATTTTACCAACGATAATTTATTCAGCTAGTTATAAAATCATTTCAAGCTTTAATTATATATAACATAAAGAACCTTATTTAAATTATTTTTTATTCTCTTTAATCTCTTTTACGCATCCATTTCTTGAATGAATTGCAAGAATATGGATCTTTATGCTCTCATAAAATTTAATGATAAATGTCTTCTAATTTTCTTCTTCATATTTTAGAGCTCAATATTTTTTTAACATAAAGTTGTTTAGTTTCTTGTCATCTTCTATAATTTTTATTAGACATAAACATACACTGAGAAAAAGATGCCTAAAAATATATTTGTGAGAAATATATTTATTTCATTGAAATAAATATTTATTTAAATACGGGCGAAATAAATTTTATTCCTAGCAAATAAGCCATCTATTTTATTTTATTGCAATTAATGAGATATATTTCACAGAAATGTATATTTCGTCATCACAAATTTTGTAAGTAACATTTGCTTCGCAATACTTCGACATCTTTCTCTCACAGTGTAAAAAATTATTAACCGATTTCTTTCCACCATCATATTTATAAGACAAAATCTTCTTTCTCTATATGAATAGTCCATATGAAGTATCTTTTCAATTTTTTTATACATATGGATTATATACATATATATAGAGAATAAAATTAAAAAAATACTGTAAGAAAAATATAAACAAGACGGCGAGAAGAAATGGGTAAATAAAATGCGAAAAAGAATTATTAATATGTCGTATACAATATTAAAAATTTTCGAATATAATTATTTTTATTGAAGCACAATGTTTATTGTCACAGCTTTTTAACACAGATTATTAACTCGCTTTGCTCCTCTGATTCCTACCTATATACCGAATTTACTTTCGCTGTTGTATTACGTGCGGTTACGCAATTTTACGTATCAGAGGTGAAATACAACGCAATCTGTATTGATACGCGCGCAAGTGGAATGTGTCGCCTGTAAACGTTTCTCATTTAATCTTACTGCGATCCCTGATTCGTATTTATAAAGAACCTTTTGTTGGAGCGTAATACGAGATAAAAATAGAAGTATTGAAAATAAGAACAACGATCGATTATTCACCGTGCTATCGGACAAAACAAGTTCAGAACAGGTGTTTGAAACTTATTTGCAGCTAGTTTGTTTAAGATTCATTAATGCTCTGAGTTTCATGTTAATAACCGTACGCAACGCACAAATAAATCTAATCTCGCGCGCGCGCGTTTGATAATGAATATCTTGTGAGATATAAACTGGAAAGCTTAATCAGAAAGGAAAAGATTAAATAAATAAATAAACAAAAATTAATATCCTGTGCACAGCTTAGGGATTGTTAATAACAAGTGACAATTTTTTTTTAATTAAAGCATATACAAATGTTATAATAAATGTTATAATATTGTAGAAATAATTAAATCTTCAAATAATTTCCCAAGAAAACTATAAATATCGTTGACTATTTGTCGTTATATTAATCCTTCATTATGCTCAAAATAGTTTATTTCATAATTAAATACATGTTTTAATAGTCAGCAAGCATATATTTCAATTACCATTTATTTAATTAGCAGGTTTTGGAATTAATTCAAATGTGATTTACGGATATTTTTGGAAAGCTTAAAATATTATTATCGAAATTTATATTATACGTCAACCTAAATGCATAAATTTATATCTAAATTCAGCATTATTAATTTCATCAATATTTATGTTCTCCGACATGACAAGCGTATTTAAACAGAAAAAAGTTTCACGAAAATATGCAATAAGTTATAATTAGGCGATACGGCCATATCATGATTAATGCATGTCGCACAGATTAAAAAATGCGCAATACACAAACTAACAGCTTTATGTTATATAATTGGCAATGATTTCTCGCGAGATTGCGTTAATGTTCTGGCAGTAATAATCATACCTCTATCGTACTGCGTACTTGTAACTTTCAGTGTCACGTGCTCAAGTTGGCTCTAAATATCGGCATGGAAGGACAAAGAGTTGATTAAAAATATCCCGTTCACGCGTTTTTATATAACGGTACAACGCATTACCTGTGACGGAAATTAACTCCTCATCATGTATTATATAGAACGAAATATAAGGAATATATTTTTGTCCATAATCATTATTCTAATAATTTGATAATAATGGATAAATATAATTTATCTATATTCGATCATTCTATTAATTTAATAATAACTGAATCACTAATTGTTATAAATAACTAATTAATCACTGTTTTATTAATCAGATTACATACATATATAATTATTGTCACGTTATGCGTGATCGTATTTCAGATAATATAAAAAATTATAATTACTTATATCAAATATATATACATATAATTATAAATATTTTAAAAATCAAAATCTTTTAATATTTTTAAATATTTTATTCGTTTCAAAATAATCTTGGTTTATTTAATAATCGTGCAATTATCAGACTTTCCTCATTTAAAAATAAATGAGGAAAGGAATAAAAGAGCTAAATTGAGAGTTGCAGCGAAGATACCTATCCGCACAATCGCGTTTTCGTTTCTTGTTGATCATACTTTTGCGTCGTTTCCCATCTACAATTAACCACCTTCTTTCGTACTCTAGCCTTGCTTTAAGTGTAACAAACCAAGTTCAAGAAACGGCATCGCGAAATTATCCGGGGCGAAACCGAAGATTGCTAGCTTACGCAAAATGGAAACAGTTATGTCACCTTGTCGTGTTGTACCTTGCGAATATCCTTTTCATGCACATAACTTTTGTCGCGACACGCGTTCCTGTTAAAGCCACAATATTCCGGTAATACAGTAGTCTCTTCACGGTTGAAGAGCTATGGAATTATTTCATTTTTGCGCCGAGTCTTTTCGACAAATCTTTTATTTTTTTTAACATTATCATTAATTATTACATATTTAAGAAAATGGTTTTTAAAAAAATTGAAGGTTTTTTTAAATATTAATCTGTACGACTATCATATCTCAAATAAAAAAAATCTTTGATGAGAAAACGATAACTTATCGGTCTAGCATATTATGCAACACATTAGGTAATAACAAATTTTTGTTATTATCATTATTACTTTATGAAACAGCGTAGAAAATTTATCGCTGTAATTAAAATGTGAACGTAAAAATTGAAGAACTCGTTAAAAGTAAGCCATAATGACTTCTTACTATACAAGCTACATATATGATTTAGAAAACAAATTTTAATACGGATTCCGAATGTCAAAATACACTAATTGAATGCATAATGAATGATTCATAAAATTATGTAAGACATATGAATAATTTTAGGAAATTTCACCTTTATCCCAATTTTTTATCATATCAACTTTGATAATAATCTAATTTAATTGAGATTAAATACACGATATATAAATATACACACTTACATTTTATTACGAATTATGGGATTATAGAATGAATGAAACAGATAAGCAACTTTCAACGATTGAGAATCCGTATGAGAGTTCACCGCACGATAGGTTGTGAAATCGAAGCTTGCGCAATATCATGTCACAGATATAGTATTTTGTACATAATGTCCTAGACCTACAGGAATGTATTTCCATTAGAAATAATTTGACAAAGCCTAAATCACACTGGCATAAATAATCAATATATAACTTCATAACCTTTCCATATTTATGATATTCATTTCAAAATTTTACATCACAAGTGAAATCTGTTCAAAATTATCTAAAGGAAATGATTCATAGCTGAATCATGATAATTAATGCACCTGGAATTACCTCGTTTATTCATTCTCTCGTATTCAATTACTCATACTTTAAACATAAAAAAATTCTCTAGGATAAGTATGTCTGTTAACACTAAAAACACTGAGTGGTCATTATTAACTATATCTATTTTTTAGATTAATATTATATTTCTGTAAAAGATAGAATTCTGAAATTTTTTCACTTTTCAATAATTATAATGAAATATTTAGTTTATTTATCACTTTTTCATTTTTACGATAATTTATTCGATTCGTTCTCTTTTAACGAATAAGAAATGTTGGTGCTTTTAATGTTAAAGATATATAAACTATTCGAGAGTAAAACGGAATAATAAGCGACATTTGTACAAACCGCTTTACTATGGAAATACGATGGTAAATAAATATGTTATTATCATTATGTCTGAACTTCTCTATATATCTATTGTTGCATTAATAATTACAATAATTAAATGTAACTCTCGTTAATTAATTTGTAATTGACTGTTATCGTGAAATTATTTTATATGTAAATAATATAATTAAGTAAACACAAAAATCGCAGTGCCGGTGATATGACATTCGCGATAACATTTATGACCGCAATAAACCGCATGCAATTTACTATTTTAGATTAATATTATATTTCTGTAAAAGAGAAGGATTCTGAAATTATTTTAACTTTCACTAATTATACTGAAATATTTAGTTATTCATTATTTTTTTTTCATTTTTATAGTAATTTATTTGTTTCGTCTCCTTTTAATGAATAAGAAATGCTGTTTTTAGTGTTAAAAATTATAAAATATTCGAGTAAGACGGAGTAATAAGTGTATTTATATAAACCGCTTTACTATGGAAATACGATAGTAAGTGAACATCATGTTATGTCCAAACTTCTCATACCATTTATTAGCGCATTAATGGAATTTACAATAATTCCATGTCTCAACTCTTGTTAATTACAATATAATCGCCGTCGTCACTGTTATATTGTAAAGTTATTTCATATGTAAATGATAAAATGAAATAAACACAAAAGTCGCAATACCACCGGCGATATGACATTTGCGATAACATTTACGAGCGCAATAAACCGAGTGCAATTCACAACATTATGCGCATAACTGCCTACGTCGTGTTAAAAATAAATTTCTAGCCGGCGTGTATTTATCCGCCGGGACACGTGGTTTCGATCGTCACCTATTATTGACTGTGCTTATTCAGCATCTGCAAATACAATTTCGCCGAACGTTTAGTGATGCCAAGGGAGAAACCGGTTTCGAGTGCGGAGTTGATCTTTTACGGCAGCGATGTCACGAGAAAAAAAAAAGGTCCGACTTTTTCCGAGCTATTTATCGACGAACGCCGGCGCGAAGAGAACGATCGACGTTGCGAGCTGCGAAAACGGTCAATCGCGTAAAAAAAAAAGTTGGATCTGTCCTTGACGCTCAAAGGAAGCAATCAAACTCCCCTTATTGCGGCATATCGCAAACTTTCTCACGGTTAAAATTTTTATGATAAATTTAGAGATAACTTGTCTTTAATATAAGCTCGGTGGAAAATATTAAAGATTGAAAAAGAACTCCATAATAAATTCAAAATATCACGAATATATATAGATATGGATGAAAATTTACTTTTTTAATTGAACTCAAATTAATTTCACGTTAACAAAATTTTAGAGACGCGCGTATCACGTAATCGGGAATTAATTTTCTATGTTATCGATTATTTCCATCTTGATGTGAAAAGATTTTGTATTTGAAAATTTTGTATTTAAAAATGTACACAAAAGACATGTAAAAACTGTAATACGTACACATCAAAAGCAACAGTTATTGAGACAAATCTGAAAGGACTACACAAGTTTGTAAGAAACATTAAAGCAATACGTGTCTTTATCGGTGAATTTGAATTTAATTTGAAAACAAATTTAGATTTACCATAAAATCTTAATTACTTCGTTTATATTTATTTATGACTTGGTTATTTATTGATTGATGACTTGAGTCGAAATCTAATTATAATCACTATATTGTTAAGTCATTCTGAACTTTCTCGAGAAAAATTCATATTTCAAATGAAAATATATTTCTGCTGTTAATTCAAAAGAGATCGCAACATTTCCATCGTTTTTTATCGTAACGCGGAATTTGCGTAATGTGTACACAATTACACTAAGTTACACAATGTCACATAAATAACATAATTACATAAGAAAAGCAGGATATTTTACAGGAACAATCAAAAGGATAACAAATCGCAATTAGCTCTTATATAGCTCCAAGAAAATCGATATATTTATATTATCCAAACAAACAGATATCTTTATATAATATCTTTCCTAATTATATCTTCTTTTAATATAAATATTTAATATAAATATTTTCTTTCTCTTTTAATTAATAAAAAAAAAAAGACGTATTTCTAGAGATACTCTTTGAACGTAAATATCAGTCGATATTTCCTGAAGCTATGGGAGTTAAATGAAGCGTTTATTTCGAAAAGGTTGACAAATTTGGCAGCAGCTGTTGAAACAGCTTTCTCATCAATATCCATTCTCACCTTATTTCTAACAAGTCACATAATACAACAAAATCTGTTTTCAAAATAAACGCCTCGGGCAGGTTAGAAAAACGAAACGAACACGCCGCGTAAAGCTAGGATGGCCGATTACCATGAGAACCGAGAAGGGAGGACGATCGGACGCGCCGCACTTCGCAAGACGGCTGTGTCTGCCGGTTCGCCAGACCTGCGAAAAAATCGCACTGGTGCAGTGGCGGTACTCTTTTTCGGTTTCTCGCTCGTTGTCTATTCGCCGCAATTTTGCGCGCAATTCTTTTCCCGACAAAGACCCGTAAATAATCCTAAAACCCGTGCACAAGATACGCGCGCCGGCGAAAGTATGCGCATAACGATTTTCCTTAAGCGCGTGTTTCATTTTCCGTGCCGGCAGTTTCAATGCTTTCGCGTTAATAATATACATGCGATATAATATGCGAATGACGCATCAAAACCGGCTGGCGCCATCGTTAAGTCTTTTACAATTTTATAAACGGTATTATCTCAACGTGTAAATTTAAAAAAAATTATTTGTCTTGCAAACTTATTTTTTTCATATGTTTTGCCATTGATAAGCGATTAAAGAAAAATCTATACACATGACAATAAAGCGCAGTTACGTCACTGGCGCTGTCGATTGATGTAACTGGATTGTCAAATCCATCCGAATTCGTTCAATTCACTATATTGCAGTGTCTTGCAAATTAAAACTCTCGAAAAGCTTGTGACATTTTATGACACCGGACACGTTGAAGCAATCACGAAGATTAATGTTTATCAACATTCGATTTTTTTTTGCGACGTGTATCGCCATGTTATACAATGTACAATACGGATGAAAAGTTAAAACTCTCACTTTTCATTTGATAAAAAAAAAGTCGTGCACGGCAATACATCGGCAATCCTTTTATTTATTGCTATATACGTTATTTTTTTTATTATATACGTATAATATCAAAGTTATATCGATTTTTTCGAAGAATCTTTATGTTTTAAATATATTGCCAATAATGCAGCATATTATCAAACTATTTTTTAAATATTCGGTACAGCATTTTTCAACTAGCGCTTCATGCAACATTTTTTTTAGCAACTGTATATTCCTTACCAGAGATTGAGGAAAAATGATTGCAATTATCACATAATTTATGGTCATGTTTGGTGCCAAATATATATTTTTTAGACTCCAAATATTATTATTACTAACATTTTAGAAGTAATAACTATAAGGATTATAATTTATAGTCGTTTTCGGTGACAACTGTATATATTTTAAAAGGATTCTAATTATAATTATTAGTAGTATTACAGCAGTAATAATTATAAAAATAAAACTCTTAACCAGAATTGTTTACCATGAATTATAATCACAAATACAAAACACTTTTCTCTCGGTGTTATCTACCTTATTTAATATCAATTTCGATTTGCATTTCTACTTCGTCACAAATAAAGGGAGGAAAATTTGAATATGAATAATGAAGACATTATATGCGTGTTTAACGGTTCCGGCAATTTTCTATCTGCCTCTCTCGCGTCAAAGGAGGCGTTCAGTCACTCGAAGCCTATTTGAAAAAACGCCGCACCATGTAAAGTAAATAAACATCATCCCACTCACCTTTCGACTGCGACAGGCCTGAGGATTCGAGCACTCGGACGATCGTCGACTCCTATTAGTCTTGTAAATATCCCATTCATTTTTCACCACAGGCATCATAAACGCCATCTCGTAGACTTTTATTATTTGGTCTCCGTTTCACACTTCGCCTGCCCGGTTCGTCCCTATCTTTTTACGTCCTGCAATCTCTCTTTCTCTTTCTCTCTTTCTACCGCTTTTGTAGAATATACTCTTAGAAAGTTTTAACACCTTGCACGGCTCGCACCACGCAAGAGAGAGAGAGAGAGAGAGAGAGAAAGAAAGACAGAGAGAGAGAGAGGGAGAGAGAGAAAAGGCCAATCTTTACACTGGCGCGTCAGTAGCTTCTGATGGTGTCTTGCCTGCGAATTCTCGCTAAGAATTTTCGCTTCCGAAGAATTCCGCTATGCGATCAATCGCGATCGATGTCGATTCCCGCTGACGATGTTGACGACGTTGACGACGATCGCTACGTCCGGCAGATCGAACTGGAAAACTTCATACACGTCGCGCTTCGCACAAGTGCGTTTGCGATATGCTCGATATGCGGTGCGTCTTTTATGCCCTTTCCGTCCGGCTACAGCTGGCGTATCGTCTGTTCCGGCAATCCGTTCCTGAACTCACGTCCGTACAATGCGGCAGTCCGCTACGGAATAAGCACGCCGGTCTGCGCGTGGATAAACGACGGTCTCGCGAGTCACGGCGAGAGTGGTAGGGACGAACCGACGCATCCATTGGCTGTTGTTGAGGCGGGACACCTACGTCACGAGTTACCATTGATTTTTCAATGTTGATACACACAACGGCGTGCTGACATGCCGGATTGAATTTTTGGCGGCGCGCTACCGTGGCCCGACATGTCATCTTACGCGTAGGCGCGCTCTCGACCATGCATGCATGCGTGCGTGCGTGCACGCATACGCGCATTGAGAGGAACAAAATGGTTGGAATAACCGTGATTTAACTATAATTTATAAACTACAAATTATAAAATGTTACAAATTATAAAATGTTCGACAAACACGTTACATTATTCGGAGATGTGAGACTGAAATTAACTAAATGTATATAATGAAGATCAGATTTAATTGTTGTTAATATAAACTTACAAAGCTCATGAAACATGTTGAATGTTCCGTTTGAGGTGAGTTACTTAGATTTTTTTTTTTCTTTTGATAAATCAATTTAATTTTGATATTTCAATCAGGATCCACTACAGTCGGGAACCTGTAAGTGACTCACGTTTGACGGAATACTCAATATATTAATTACACATATGTATTGCTGAGGAGGACTCCAAAGTGAGTCGAAACGTTCAATAAAAAGGATTCTACACATTAATGATTAATTAAGATTGAAATTAATCGTTGGCACCTTCATCAGCCCGTGACTCGTATGGCCTTTACCGATTGTGTTATTATTATTTTTATAATTTATAAGTCATTTTTTGGGACAATCATAAATTTATAATTGTTTTGACCATACACTGAAAGAAAAAATTGATTGAATATGGCATAGCATTTTTAATTGGTTGCAGTAGCTAATTTTTGATTGTGTTAGCCTATCAAAGGTTCTATACTGACACTGCGGATAGGCTAACGTAACCAAAAATTGACTGCTGCAACCAAAAGTTGACTGTTGCAGCCAATTAAAAATGCTACGCCATATTTTACTATCTAATTTGCTGCAGCAGCCAATCTTTTCTTTTAGTGTATGAATTATAGTAACCTGAACACCGAATTATGATCGTAATGACCATAATATGTATTCATTCAACTAATTGTATGGTTATCTTACACATAAATCATATTTGTATATAGTAAACTATACTATAAAATGTTGTAAATATACATATAAGGTTATTGTTACTAACATTATAGCAATAATAAATAATAAATAAAAACGACGCTCCTGACGGTGTAATTATTTTACAATTATAGTCAAATACGATATACTTTTCTCTCAGTGCAGGATTCGGATTCCAGAGGATCCGAGTATCGCGCGGCGACACGAAGAAGTCACGATCGCACCCGGCACTTGCGATTATCACGCCGATCAGCTGTTAATAACAGATTTCGTTACAATCCGCAAATATTTTGAGCTTCTTTGAACTTTCAGCGAACGATCGCTTCTTGAAAAGATCCCAAGTGAAAACTGAACTTCGACATAATTACTGTTTTACTGGTTCAATAGGACACATATATGATTTACGTGTCATCACATCACTGCACACTACTGCATCAATATTGCACTCATTATACATACGCATAAATTTTCTAAGCCATTAATCTTTCATTTAGATATCTAAAGTATAATTCTAAGAACTTAATATTGTTTGTTCATGTAATCTCTGATCCAAACTAAGATTGTTTTATACATACAAAGTATAAAATTTGTATCTAAAGCAAATATCGTTACGAGTCGACCAGAAGCCAATAATAAAACTGTAATTTTTCATTTTTTTTATTTTTAGGCATAAAGTCGACCGGCTTAAACTACATTACCGTTGTATACTTTAAATGTGTAGAAAAGGATTTTTAAATCCGTAAAGGCGATTAAAAAAATACATTACATGAAAAATAATCGCATTTGGTCGATAAAATAAACGACTTTGTGATCACCTTAAGATTATGGCACACAGAAAAACCTATGTCCGTTTCTACCAATGTAGATTAACTTTAATCTCAGTTCAACTTAATCTTCATCTTTTGTTGTTGTAATTCTTAGAATTACTAAAGAAAGATAAAGAGTTAGTTGAATCGAGATTAAAATTAAATTACATTGGTATATAGAAACGGATAAAGTCCCGAAACACAATAGGCGTAATAAGCTTTAAGTGTTAAGACCAATATTCATAATCGATTCTTCAAGACTGTCTCAAGTAATATCTTAAAATGATAATACAGCTCTATAATTGATTCATGACATCTTAAGACTGTACTTATTACGATTTTAAATATAAGAACCAACTATGAATGATTAAGAAATGGAACAATCATAGTCGATTATTCTTCCTACATTCGACTGTGATTGATCAACTTCTTACGGTTTAAGGATTACTACACCTACTGTGTTAATATGATTGGTTTATATGTTTAGATCTAATGAGGGCAAGACTAATCATATTAAAGAATTTTAACAATTGCAAAGTCACTTTCTCTGCTGAACGCAGCCAATAAAAATTATGATCTTGCGTTTCCAAACGCTCGACTATGATTAATCGATATTCTTGGAATCTTATATGATTACGACTAAAATTATTTTTACGTATAACAGTTTTTAGAGACAAGTTCCAAGATTTAATTTATATGTTAAATTAAAGTTCATTTGATGCGAAAATAATTATTTCGTTATTTATGTAACGAAAACATAAAACGACAAATTTAAAATAAATTAATATTTATATATCGACATTTACTAAATGCTGAGTACAACACTGTAAATAACGTACTACTTTATTATGTTTATATTTTCGTTGAAAATGGTAGATAAAGCGAAAATATATTATTAAAAAGCTATATTTATACCGCTAAGGCCCAGTTCCACAACTCACGGTTAACTCTTAACCGAGGTTCAACTTATTCATTGTCTCTTTCTAATTCTAGAATTGGAAAGAGATGAGAAACAAATTGAACCTCGGTTAAGAGTTAATCATGAGTTATGGAACTAGGCCTAAAGCGTATAATATAGACGGTATTAACTTTTGGTGTTAAATACAGTCCCAAATAAACTTTCAAATTATGCTTGGAAAGACAGTTTCATCGTCCAATCTTATGTTAACGATAAATAAAATATTATGGTAAAAGTCAAAAGCTAAACAAAGTCATTTGCAGATGAAAGTAGAGGAAGATAAAAGGCTTAATATTTCAAAGCAAAATATCTAAAGAGAAGAAAGAGAAGGAAAGGCATTTTATCCTCTAAAATATTCAGCAAACGGTAAGCCCATAAACATTCATAAAAATTGAGAAAAGCTAAAGTATGTTTTATTACATATAAAGTGTAAATCAGTAACATAATTAAAACTGTATATTGCGATATATTATGTTATAACATGAACATAAAATATATAATAGAATAAATGTGAAATATTTTTTCATTTGATACAGAAAAGCGATATAATTATCGATATAGTTATCGATAAAATGAGATAGATGAACACGCAAAAACAAGAATTCGATTGAAGCAACGCGCGCGAAATATAATTTTAACCTATAATCTCGTAAAATAAGCGACATTTTTCCAATTTGAAATTTAAAGTCAGATCTTAATACAGCATTTTAAATTTAAGTACTAATCTTTTAGAATATTTTAGACGAGTGCATTCCAGATATGAACGTAAAATAGAAAATTCTTTTGTAGCGCATAAACAGGAGAGGTAATTTTTTTCTTGGTAAGCATAGCGAAAAGAACTCACAGCACAAATACGCGAGCGGGTTGTGTAATACTACATGCTCAGGATATATAATTTAGCATAGAGCTTGCAATGTATTTATCTAAATATCTGAGGTTCTATGAATATCCGTGAACACATTTATAGAAATCTAATACTGACCAATATTAAAAGACAGCATCACTACTTATTTTAAGTACTAAGGACATTGTTGTTTAATACTTTTAGTACACCAAATAAATAATTAATTACTGTCTTTCAGTAATAAATTGGACAGGATTAGATGTGAGAGTACCTGTCGAAACAAGTTACGTCGTCATAAAAAGTTAGGTATATGTTGAAAAGGGATCACTATTAACTTGTCCTTGACCCTCCGTCAGTGAGAAAATGCGTATCTACTCAGGATCGACCTTGAATAAACCGAGAGGCGGGCAGGGGTTTACTGTTTTGTCAACCTTCTCAGAAATCCAATTTAATACTGGAAATTACTTATTTTGAACGACAATACTTTTAATATTCAAAATAAGGAATTAATTACTCTCAATATTAAATTTATGTAAGGGTTGTATCCTGCTTGTGAATATTTATAAATTTAGAAGTAAATTGATTTTTCATGCGTAATTATTAAAAAAATGATGTGTTTGTCCTGCATCTTTATAAAGTCTTTATAAAGTCTGCATTTGTATCATAATTTAAATTAATAACGTTTAAAATAATGTATAAGCCTCTCATAAGTTTCATCAAATCACGTTATCAATATTCTAGTAAGCATTGTGCAAGAAAAATAATTATTACATATTACGTAAACTTCCGAACGACGAACATACTCGTAATGTTAACGACAGTATTATAATAATACTATTAATCAACGTCTTGCAAACCGTTGACGAAATTAATTTAACTAGTTTAACGGACGAAACTTTCAGTAACTGCGGGTATCAGCAAATTAATTATTAATTGTAACGGTAGACAAATATATATTCTGACGCGGTAACAAACTTCGCACTAACAACTAGCAGTAAATCTCTCGAAATTGCTCTCGTGACAATCAAGTTAACATGAATTTAATAAATGAGGAAATATCATTTCCTCGCGTTTACTTCTAATCTTTAGAAAAATATAGTTTAACAACTCGTCTTATCGCGCAGAAATGAATAAGTACGTAAGAAATTTTGCGGATTTTGCGGTTTTGCGCGCTTATCTCACCGTCGGAGAAGCGATTAAAATCACGTCTGATATAACAATGCATTATTTTATTGTACGTCGGAAATAGTTTTACGAACGACTCGAATTCAGCTTATTGAAATATTATCCTCCAACAATACCTATACGTATCATAGAAATCGGAAATCAATATATTCTACCTACACTTCTCCGAGCATCGGCAGCTTATATGATCTACAGTGTACACATTCCATGAAAAACATATGCAAACAATATGGCCGTAACGCTATTCACAGATGTTTCTGAATAACCCATGTGTTAAAAAATATATATTATTCTTACTGCATCTTGCTGTCCATATGCTGCGCACATCAGTATTGTGAAAGCGAGACAAAAGCCATTCATGAAACCTTTAGATTGCTTCGCGATTTTATTTACTGTACAATATATATATTTGTAAAAAATTGAAAATATATTTCATATATCTAAATGATTATTGATAAAAAATAAAAATTATTATCGAAAAAATTTTTGTGTTAAATCACAATTACCGATAGATGATAATCTAAATATCGGTTAATTCAGTCAGATATTATCAATTCACAGTGATTTTATCAACGTCAAATAATGACATTTGTATTACTGATCATCGATAGAGAAAGAATCAAATATGATAAATTTAATTGAATCTAATAAAAAAAGATCGACATTATATAATTATTAAATTATAATAGACATTTGAAAATTAATAGAAAAATATTTTATCTTTGATTAAATATTATTGTAAATATTATGTGAAATTTTCAATGACATAGTTTAAGTTACGTAAAGCATATAGTAATTAAGAAATTAAACGTTTCTGTGTGTCTCCGTAAACAAATATTTTTTGCAGTTGACTAACAAAATTAAAATATAATCAATTCTAATGTATTTTCTTTCACCACGCCTGAAACCACATGATGCTGAAAATATATTTTATATTCTAACGCCAAACTTTCTTCAATGCATTAACCATTAATGCGTATAATAATTTTCCAATTTTAGTACAATGGATTCATGCTCGTTAATTTTTATCAATTTTGCAAGTATAAGACAATTAAGATTTTTACATATACTTTAACATTTTTAGGAAATATTTAAAAAAAGGAAAAAACCATTATTTTTAGCCAAGCTTCTAATATTTCAAAGAAAAAAGTTCACAGAACACGAACGATCCAATTGTGTATACTAAAAGTTAATGATCCTTCTTTATTTCATAAAGCATATTTAAAAATTCAACGAACATGCTTTCAGTGAATGTTCCACACTCCAAGCAAACATGTTTGTAGCATTTAAAAAAAAATTAAAAAAACAAACTGTAATAACCGAGATTATAAGTTCTTTCAAAACACACGATATATTTTTAATAAATGAAAATCATTACTCTTTGCCTGCATCACACAAATATGATTTGTTGATATAATATACTTTACATTAATCGTTCTTCGAAGATTTATTCTTAAATGCGGCCCGTCATATAGTATTATGAAACCATATCGTGAGATTTATAAAAATCAGACTGTCTAAGACTTATATTTGCTCGAGACGGCTTTCGTGAGGAGAATGAATGATGCATTCAACCCTCTGTATCGATTTTTCGCCAGAGTTACTCTGGAGACCGTCCCGCTTGCTACTTAAGTGTCCCCTAGTTACCAATGAAACGTGAAAGAAACAAGGAAACGTCTGCATTTTAGCAAACTAAGGAATACTCATAATTATAAACTGACATTAAGAGAATAAATAGTAAATACGAGGACGAGGAAACATGAAGAATTTCTACGAAAGAATTAAACTACAAGTCTCCACTGTCCTCATTTTCCTAGTAAGTACAACAAATTTAATAAACACTATTCGTAATATAAATTATCGTACTGTACTTAATATTAAAAATATAATTCGCACTAAAAATTATCGCTTATAATATTACATTGATTTATAACCTAATAAACAGCAACTAAATATAACATAACATCAATGTTATAATTACACACTCAATAATACAACTGTTGTTACGTGCAGTTACGTACACATGTGTTATGTTACATTTACATTGTTGAATTGACATTATAATACTGGTATTATATTTAGGGTTGTGTTTGTTTGTGTTTGTTGGTAAAAACTAATGTTTTTTTTAAGAATAAAACATATTATGTTTCTTCTTAAATATGTTTTTAATGCTTCACATATGTTTTAAACGGTATTATAAAAAAAACATATTTAAAACACGTTTAAAACATGTTTTTTACCAACCCTGGATTATATTAGATACTTTTATTTGGTGTTTACCAGATTAAAAATCAACAATATTATAAGCGATAATTTTTTTATTAGGTAAAATTATAACACTGCTGTTATGTTTTAGTTGATATTTAGTGGGTAATCTTGAAGGCCCTTTCCTTAAATTTAATTTCTCTTAATTTATCTTAATTTTAATCTTGATTTAACTTACTCCTTATCTTTTCTAATTTTTAAATTTAAAAAAAGATAAAAAGTAAGCTAAACGAAGATTAATAAATTAATCTACATTGGTAAAAAGAGATATAAAAGTTTTCTATTTTCTTATTGAGCGTATAGAAATAGAACTGTGTACGCAGTTACTGTAAATCGCTACATCAAGTGTCACAGGATAGAAATGAGTACAGGGTCGCCATTAATACAACATATATAAGTCACTACAGCGAGTAAGGAGGTAACGAAAAGTCGATGACTGCAGCTAATGTCTGTGTTTTTATACAACTCGTTTACTACTAATGTTAAAAAAAAAACATTTATCGCTGCAAGACCATTGGCGTCGAATGTATAAAAAGCGAGAGACGTATCGTCATTATCCTAAACGAGAGACACTATGACATAAAGCGGCATTATCTTAAACTGGAGACTCTATCAACGAAGTCTGGCCATAAGCGATTTTGTCAAAATCCTGCGAGACAGAAAGATATATGTACTATCTCTCTCTCCCCCCTCTCTCTCTCTCTATATATATATACTATCTCACTCTAATTTATGCTATTTCACTTTATAATCTTATTAAGATTGCAGAGTGAAATAGTATAAATTAAAGTGGAAAAGTACATATACTGGGAGGCAATATACATATATATTTTCCTTTCAAGGAACACACAAAAGTCAATAAAAAATTTAAATGACTATTTTAATTTTTTATGTCAATGAAAAATCAAATTTTGTAACAAGAAAATCATCATTTCGATTTTCATGACATTAAAATATAGTCATTTTGACTTTCTCTTGATTTGATATATTTCTTAGGTAGGATTTGATAAAATCATGTCAGACTCTATAGTATCTTTAGATATCAAAGGAGTAATGTGGTAAATTAATTTTTTTCCTTAAATAACATTTCATTTTTAACCTTCAAAGTGTGTCAAAGTGATTGATTTACATTTTGACACAAGTCAATCGACACAACTATTTCTGTGGTTAGTTCCGAAGTAAACAACATCGCTTTTAATGTAATGCACTTAGTAAATAATAAACTAAATTTTTGAATCAAATTAAATACATTTTCTTGACTTAAATTGTTTAACTGTATTGTTTTGGTTGAATTAATTAATAGAATAGGAACAGTGACGAACCTATAAGTATGATTAAAAATCAATCAAATTGGATATAACTTGACACAACGATTTTAACAGTGTCTCCTAAATCATTACGCCGACTCGAGGCATAGCAAGGAGTTAACGACCGATAACGCGTTTAAGGGTGAATCCGAGGGTGAATCCTACAATCACGTGTACCAAAGCCGCGGCCGTTCCGCACGATTGAGCGGTACGGATATGCGCTGACATGACTCTGATGGTGTGTCGAACCCTTTAAAGGGCGGTGCGCTGAAATGGAGGGGCGTCTTTAGTAGGACACGGCTTGCAGCACTATGTATCTTCGGCTATATACAGTATTGTTTCACTGACGCGCCGGCCGCGTGTGCAACGGTTCGCGCGATCGCCGTCGGAACCGACGTTAGGATCCTCGATCGATCGATCCCTCCCAGCCAACCGTGGATCGAGCGGCGGACGGCCCGATCGCTTCCAGTCGGCGATCATCCTCGGCACGGTCGCGCAACGTTCGACGGAACGGTTGATGATCCCCCTAATGCGGTCTTAACGATCGCTCGGAGAGCGATTCCAGCTGCGGTACAGACGGAAGATTTCGGATCGATACTAATTGACGACGGATGCGCTCCTCGATGGTGATCGACCGTCGCAAACTGCAAACGATCGAGCGAATGAAGAACGGATGACGAGAGGATTTTCGCCGAGTATACGATGAACATATAGGATAAGAAGAATATTGTAAACGATAAAAAGAGGGCATATTATGCTCCGGTAGAAACGCATATTCAATCACGGAAAAAAAACAGGAGAAAAATATGAAGAGAGGAAATCTCAGATCGAGAATCTCGTTGAGCGTCGTCGCGTTGTGACTCATTTACGACTGCACGTGATAAGGATCGATAGAAAAAATGGTGTTCGACGCGATGTGCGAGGAGCAGAGGAAGCAATTCTTCAGGCAGAGCTATGGCGCTCATTTACCCGGGTAAGTGCATCTGTCAATGATCAATTAAATGCTCCATTTATTGCTTTCAATCCGTGATTAATTCGCGATTACAACCACTTCTCTTTTGTTCATCGATTCCTCCTACATCTTGTTTACGTTTATTACAAAACTGAAGACTTACTGATTTAATGCATGTTTATCTCGATGTTTACTGAGAGAAAAGTGTTTGATATTTGTGATTATAATTGTATAGTATAATAATTATGATTAGAAGCTTCATTTTTATAGTTATTACTGCTATAATGTTAGTAATAATTATATTCATAATGCTGCCAAAATAATTATGGGTAAATTATGATAACTGCAATCAGTTTTTTCTCTCAGTATTATGTCATGTGAAGACATTTGTGTTTCATATTGAAATACTCTCGATAAATTCGGTGATTGCGAATTATTATTGAGATACTTTAATCAAATATAAAAGTAAAATAAAATTTAGAAAGTGATGGACCGTTCAATATATCGTTAGGAACAAGAAATTAATAATGCAACGTTGTTTTTGGTGACAAAAACTTTATCGCTAGAATTAGTTTAACGATTACAAGAATCTAATTGAATTTACAGCATCGTTATGACAGGCACTAAATATCTCGTTAGCATTGCGTAATGCAGAGGCATGGCGTCAAACAACTGTTCGTAATTAAATGGATATTGTACGCGACACATGCACAACAACTTTTCATTGATCATCGACAAATTTCTCGATGAACGACTCGATAATAAGTAAAAAAAAATCTACTCGATAAATGAGCGTCAACTTTCTCGTATCTTTTTTATTTTTACGCTGGTTTTATATTTTCAATTATAAATGAAAGCGTCGCATATATAAAAACTGTCCTATCTTTCATGCAAATATATGTACATAATTTCACTTATAGTAGAAAGTTATTATGAAAATATACATCTAAATATTCATTTATTTATTATTATAGACGTAATGAAAATTGCGAAATAATACGCTTCTCAAGAGAAAAATGGTGGTAATAACAAAAATAATATATGCTCTGTATGTATGTGCAATCGTAATAACTCCGTTAAATCGCGTGAATTAATAATACACCACGATATTAATATCATTACTTCTTTAAAGAAAGTTTAAATTTTACAATCAGTTTTTATGCTGGATTGTATGCGCATAACGATATCATAACTCTGTACACGCAATCATATTAAAATACAGATATAAAATATATGAAAAGAATATTTAATACCCACACACACATACACATTATTTGTTCGTGAATAAGTGGCTATAAGCAACATACATATAATTAAGTGTGAGCATTAAGTTCAATAAAATTCTAAATTCAGGAAAAATCTCCGTGTTTATTAGCGGTAGTATAAATAAGTTTACAGTAATTAACGGGAATAATTAGATAAATATTAATTAATGTTTATAATTATTTCTAATTAAAAAATTTGAAATCTTTTTTTTAATTTATTGCGATGAAAATTATAGTTTGTTACAATTCTCTTTTTATTTTTTTCGCTATTCCTTTCATTGCTTTCAAATCTAAAATTTATTTTATTTTACGTAAAATATTTCATGAAATATTTCGTATTTATAGCATTAAAAATTGTATTTATTGGAATAATATTTAAATGAGTGATAATCTAAATAGAACGTTTAGTCTTTATAAACTTGACAAAAACGCAGAAAGCGTGAAATTGATTCTACAAGGAAACCACATCTGATCGAAGGATTTTCAATAAAATCACGCTTGTTCTGCACAGAGATCAAATCTAATTTTTTTCTTCGCAAATGATTCTAAATGATCTAATTCTAAGCGATTCGATCTTCAATCAAATAGAAACCGCAGAAACGATATTTAAACCACTAATGAAGTTTGCTGACATCGGCTATGAAATTAAATGCCTAATTTGACATTAGAAAATTTGATATTTGGAAATTACGTGATATTATAGTATATCTTAAAACTTAAATAAAAATAAATATAAGAATAATATATATATATAATATATCGCAAACGATTGCGAATTATTTATTATTATGTATATCATTAATTTTTGTAAGCTAATTAATTAATTTATGAATATAAAAACAATTAATTAGAGAATATAAGATATCAATTATAAAAATTACAGCGAATTTCTACGATGAATAAAAATGAAATTTAGAATTTCTTAATTAGAGAGAGGGGAGAGAGAGAGAGAGAGAGAGTAATACTTTAATTTATGATTTTTGAAAATTGAAGATGTTCCAAAAATGTTGATTTCAGTTTGATCTATTTAAAATTTTTATAAAATTTTAATAGTGCAAAAGCTTTTATGAGATACATTAAATATTATAAAGAGAGATTAATATGTGAAACTTAAAATAAGATTTTCTTTTATGCAGATATACCTATAAATCTTTGATATTCAACGTAATATAATTAGGATTCTGAATATCAACTAATACTATGATGATAAGCGAAAAATCAACCGCAGTAAAGCGACCTCTCTTATAATATACATATACATATATTGCATCAAATGCATTATGCATTCGCAATATTTACTGATCGCACGGACATCGGACAAGAAAATCGAAGTAGCATATGTGTCTCGATTTTCAGATTATATGTATATCGCATTCGAACTAGATCACCGGATGACCCACCGGAAGCGTGCATACCCGAAGTATTGACCTCGAAAGCAGTGGTACCGCGGTTGGTACCGTGCCAATTTACACCCCCACGTCCCCACTATAAAAGCTATATCACGCGCAAAACTACCCTTCTGTATGGCGAATCACCTCGAACTATTTATCATGATTTACCTTAGTTCCGGCATATCGATCCGAGTGAGAAAAGACACGGATCGAAACGGACGAGTTGCTTGAGAGAAAAGGTGTTGTCTGAGAAAAACAGAAACGCCCCAATTAACTATTTCCGTCAGATCTATGCTATTATACCTTTCTCATTACGACAAAAATGGGTAGCAAGAAATAACCGATAGCAAGTTGGTTATCGAGAACTTCTTTTTCATAAAAAGATCTAATTTTCACTTGCATCTTAAAACGGAAAGAAAGTCTCTAAAAACCATCGATCTCGGATTCAATAGTAAAATCTTGAACTTTTTCTTTAGAATATTAATAATAGTAGTAATTTTTAGATTATAAAAGAAGCTTTTCTCGAAGAAACACTTATTGGAGATGCAATAAGAAAGAAGTAAAACTTGTACATTTAAATACGAAGAAACTTGCATGGAAAAAAACAATTTTGCTAAAATGTCTACAAAGTTAACTAGACATAGATTTGAAAATAATTTTGTTGGACTATTAAAATAATTACATAGTAATCTCAAGCATAGGATGCAAAAAGCTTTGATATTCTAGCAATCAGTTTGAGTACTCTATATAATTATTCTAAGCGCGATAAAAGTATGGATAGATAAGTGAAGTAAGATCATAAATGAACTATAAGTCCTTCTTGGTACGTATTGAAGATAAATTCTATTCTAATGATTTTGATGGTTCAGCAAAATTATTTTTAGATTTGTATTTAGCTAAATTTTTAGACACTTTAGCAAAACCATCCTTTCCTTATAACAATAACGTTTCAAACGATCTGCTAGCTACCGAGAGACTTCACTTTCTTGACACTGATCTTGTGATATAGACACGGTAAGATGGTTCAACGACCCAGATACGATTTAATGCAGATCTTAATAGTCGAGACTCGTGACAACCGTGTAGGAGTGACTTCAGCTGGTTATCCCACCGTGACCGCTACAAAGTGAAGGCTCCATTTACTGGGTCACCGGTAGTCCGCTTTTACGGTTCTGCGATTACTTTATTTAGGGATCGGCCGTGATCGTGTCATTCTCTCAGAAGCATTTAAAGCGATGTCCACACAGTCGACCAATAAATTGCAGGACAAGTGACCGAAAACATTTTCGGATCGTAAAAATATTTCTGAAAAGTTTTGTGATGAAATAATTAAAACATATACTTTAATCTTTTAACAATACATATGTTATTCTATATTCTAAGAAAAAAGTTGTCAACTTGACTAAATTGGTTTAGTTTAGTCTTTATTTTTTTCGTTAGATGTATATATTTATATATTTATATTATTATATTATAATTATATTATTATATTATAATTGACTTAAATATATACATTCTTCAACAAAAAATAAACTTAATTAATTTAATCAAATTAACAACTGTTTTTCTCAGTACAGTCCACGTTCTTTATCTTAAGATTCACTGATCTCGATTTTTCTGAATTATGCTATTTGCTATTTTAATTATTCACGGTATACTTAATATAGAAGTTACAATAAGTAAGCAAGTATACCTCGCGTGCAAGTATGCATTTTTTCCCGGAATATGTATATTTTATTGTATTCTACACCGTCGTAGTAAGTAGCAATACGAGTATAGATTCTAACGAAGAATATATACCCCGTATATACATACATAGATATATCACATAAGATATCTAATTGTGAGGTATTAGATACGTTTCGCTAGACAGAAAAATGGGTATAACATGTTCACGTAATAGGTCATAATTGTGCACGCTACACTGTCGTTCACTATATTTCTTTACCATATTTTGGTCATGGAAAAATAGACTGCAAATTGATCGAAAAATCTTGCATCAAACATTACATAGTTGACTTGTCGTAATGTCTGTCGCTCTGTCACAATAGTAAAACAACGTATCATAATACTAGTACGATTTCTTACTTCAAGAAAAATTTGATTTTTTAAGAGTTTTGAGGAACGCAGCAGTGTCATTACATTTAAATTTATTATATTTTAAAATTCATGCTATGCTACCTTTACTACAAGTTACACGTACTTTTAGGTACACGGGTCATTGTCCCACCCTCAAATTTCGCGTTGGAAAGAGATTCGGAGCGAGTACGGAGGAGATAATGAAGGTAAGGAGAGGAAATATAAAAAAAAAACTGGAAATTAAATTTCAAAATGAGGGAGATGTACTTATTTATAGAGAAACTTGAACAAAAAGAATTGTCTAATACTCGCAAAATATTACGAATAATCAAGTTGCACAGTTAAAAGTTTAATTTTGTATCGTGTGTTTATATTAGGTCTGTTTTTTATTCCTGCGCTGTCTGAACTGGTGCACACGATGCAATAAGTTAAAGCAAAACAAACGTATATTTGTTTCACTTTAACTTGTTGCACCGTGTGCATCAATTCAAGTAGTGCAGGAATAAAGAACAAACCTATTGTCACAGGAATTATTGGAAAAGAAGATTCTTAAGACTGGACCATATAGACCAAAGTCCGGTAGAGAAGCCGAGTTACCAATTCTTCAGGATAAAGAAATCAGAAGAGATTGGCCTAACGAAGCTGGATCGTACAAGGCACCTCCGTACATTCTAGGATATACCGGTAAGATTGCAAAGGATATCCCTTCAAATATTCTTTTAATCGCAAGTAAATTTAAAAACATAATTGTTAAAATGTTGAGATATTAATATTTTATATATTATTGCTCTTGTGTTAATAAAGTGATATTAAATATTTTAACAATTAAAATGTAAAATTTAATTCTTGCCGAAATACAAAAACCTTAGTAAATTACAATTAGGAAGAAAAATATCTTTTTTATGTTTCAAAAGCTTCGTTTCAAGACATTGATCAATATTTTGTGATTATATTGATAAAAAGTTCTGAAATTAAACTTTCAAAATGAAAAATAAATAAAAATATTTTTTCTTTTAACCCACTTAAGCTTTATATATATTTCGGCAAAAATTGAATTTTGCATTTTAATTGTTAAAATATTTAACTATGAAATTCGAAAATTTGGGATACACGTAAATGACCTTACATCAAACCTTTCCCCGTTACAAAAGACTTATTGCCTAATAACAATCCAAAATAGAAATCGCCGATTAAGATCCTTATTTTATCGCTTCAAACTGCCGACGTAGAATTGCTTCGATACGACCTTCAATGCACGCGATTACTATTAGTGAGCATCGCTAAGCGACCTAAATCGTGGTAATTAGTAGTTTGCGTATTGCATCGTGCGCAAAACTAATTATGCCTTAACAATATATACATATATTGTATAACTTATCTTCTTTTTTATTTCCAATGCAAATTTGCATTTTTAAATATATTTAATCATCAAGAAAAAACTTTTATATACGTAACTCTTCCTCCCCAAATTAATTGCTTCAAAAGACTGACATAAAAAATAATCAAACGCTCACCAGTACGATGCGCAGCAGCGAAGGTTGAAATATATAAATAAAATCTGTAAAATATATATATATATATACAAATATATTATTAAATATTAAATATTGTACAAAAAATTAATAACATTTTATGAAATGATTATCTCTGAATAAATACTCTCTTAACAAGAAAATTACTCATTCCATAGATAACAATAATTTTTTAAGTGAATCACAAATGCTTACCCACGGTTGCTCCGCCGTCCGATGCCTCCCTGGCCTCCTCCTCCTCTCCTGCATGGCACTTCCGAAATAAGACACATTTTTTTCTATAATTTTCCACTTATTCACTACGTTACGACGGAAGAACGACCCGTTCGCGGGACGCGTGCCTAAATTCACGCCATTCGCTGTGGGGGAATGCCGCACCTGTTGACACAAAGGGCACGTAATCGCGTTTTTTAGGCCGGTTATCGCCGCCTATCGTAGCGATCTTATTGCGATACATTATAATGAACGAATAAATTATTATGGATTCGTATATAGTATAAATATACGTAGAGCTAGAACAACCCAGTTGACACCAATTAAAACTATTAAAAGTAACATAACATCTATGTTATAAGAGGTCTGTTCGTATACCTTAATACTCTTATAAACAGAATAATGAGACAAATTAATTGGTGTAAAGAAAACACACACATATAATTGCTTACTTAAAAAATTATCCTCTTTGCCCACATATTTTTTCAAAGCAATTATATATCTCCTTTACTCCAATTGATTTATCTCAATATTCTATTGTATTAAAAGTATTAAAGTAAGATTATTTAAAAATCAATAGTTCATGAATATTTAGGCCGGTATTCATAGTCGATTCTTATATTTCAGGCTGTCTTAAGTAGTCTTAAGACATCACTTAAGATGGTCTTGAAATAACAACCGATTATGAATAACCGACCTTAGTATTTTATGTCAATATGTGCCAAAAAAAATTATCTCGTAAATTAATGATTTTTTTTTATATCTTAATATTTTTATAAGCAGAATAATTACAGAAATCATCTATTATATGAACTTTGTTTTCTATAGCTAAATTAATATATGAACTTTTGGAACTTAAATGAAATAGGTAAATATATGCTTGATATTTGGCTAAAGTGAGAAAGAAAGTATTTTTGCAGTTGTGCAGTCGAGTGCAAGAATCAAAATCTAACCCGTATAATTTCACACTCGACAATGGTAACTAACTGTTATATTTATTATTGAGTGCAAAATTATAACATAAATGTTACGTTGCTTTAATTAGTGTCGACTGGGAAAGTGAATATATTTACGTAGGACGCCGCAAACGCCATTTGCAAAACATTTGCAAAACGGCCTGATCGCCGATTCCGATAATTTCGATCGAAGAAATCTCGCGAACTAGAGATCGCGTTTCAAGAGATCAACGATGTGATGTACGCCCATTTTACACTACACAGTTAACAAAAACCGAGTTAATTGCTATCGTATTCACTAATTAAACATTTCACCGTGTCACGACGCTGCACTGCACAATTCGCTGATCCGTCCCACGTCTGCAACCGCGCGACGTTTTCCCACTGAAAATTTGAAAGTGTTGCCAACTTCAGTGCGATATCAGGTGCAAGTCAATTAACGACTAATTGAGATGAACCTGAAAATCGGACCTAAAGGGTGTCTCAAAATTAACACAAGATTTGAATTAAATAGAAAACACAGTTTTTAGTCTTTAGATTGTTATTTTTTCATTGAATCATAAAGTACATAGGATAGGGTTATTTACGCTCCATTTTTACTAACCCTAAACTCTCAGCTGTCAAATTGTTCTTTTTTCAGGGTTGCCGACAATTTACTGCAAAAATAGCGGCAAATTCAAATCTTGCGTTAATTTTGGGACACCCTTTATAATCGAAAGGCAGTATATTGAAATTCGACGTTAAAATTCCGTGTATTATTAATAAATGTGTATATTATTAAGCAATCGATACATCAAATCTTATTGTTATTCTATTTGTTCTGACGATTCGTTCTGAGTCTGATTAGGCGGAAAATTCAAAACGTGCCGCAAAGATACATGATTATAGAAATAATTATTTCGCGTGATTATTACTGCTATTGATATATGTATATAAAGAGCGATCAACTAAATTATTATAAAAATATGACGAATTTAATTTAATTTTCTTTATTTATTAAAAAAAATATATCGTTATTGGATTAATGAATATTATTAGCATCTGAGATCGATTGTGGTTAATGTCCGAATGTTTCGGCGCACAGTCACATCTGAGATAATTAAATTTTTTAAAATTAAGAATATATATTATATTCATAACATCTAACTTTGACCGATTATTGGCGCTCTCAAATGTATGTATATTATATATTTACACGGTCGGATCTTAATTCTTAATTGGATTAATGAAGTTGCAATTGTTTTTGATAATACTTTGATAATACTATAAAATTAATCTGCATAAGAAGCTATTAATAAAATTGATCTGTACAAAGGCTGTACAAAAAAATTGTGTATATGTGATAAAATTCATACTTTCAATTTTACCATATATTTTTTTTTCTTATTGAATGTATATTGTTATATGAAGTCTCTCTTTCTCTTAAGAATTAATTTGCAAAATTAACTTACAGAAATTCTTTTTGGCTGAGTTGTTCTATCTCTCGATAAATTTCAGCTTACTCATTCTCTTTCTCGTTCTCTCTCTTTCTCTCTCTCTCACTTTTTGTTTTATCTATTAGATAAATTACCATATGGTTTATTCGAAAGTAGAACAACCGACCTTAAGAAATGTATTTTTTTTTTTTCATTTTAGAGAGAATCGACGCATTTATATCTTATACAATGCATTCCTCCACAAAGGGATTTATATTTGACGTTGTTCTTTGATTTATCACAGGATATATTCCTGGTTTCAACAACAGATTTGGTCTATCCTTCATGAGAGCTGTGGAAGCTGGTGCCAAAGAGTGGCACGAGGCACAAATGAAACTGAGAGCGCAACGAGATGCGATGAGGGCTCATGCCGAGCGGACAGATCCAAGAAATCTTCTATCCCGAGCGAGAACCGACAATGTGGATATTGAGATCGATCACGGTCATGACAAAGACAGAAGGACCTATGGTACTTCATACTCACATTATTTGTTATTCAGATTTAATATAGCAACACAACAGATATGTTATTCCAATATGGTTACTTAATCGTTTATTCCAAAGTATTAAAATAAAAAATATAAAATTAAAAAGATAATAGATGGCATAAGAAATTAATTTTATTTTTAAAAACACAAATAAAAATTTTCGCAGCAAAAATGCCTTTGTTACAATGAAAAATTCAAATTCTATTGAAAATGAAAGTAAAGCGGGGAGCACAGACTTTTGCATAACGCATAACATGTAATGCATAAGAAATTCAATCAATCAGAATTCTTTATTTCATGGAAAGGAAGGAAACGGAGGACTTTGATTGGTACATTTTCTTATGCATTACGTGTTATGCGTTATGCAAGAGTCTGTGCTCCCCGCTTAAAGCATCAAATTTCAAGAACTGATACATTGTTGTTATCGTTACAGATTATCATGTCTCCCCAGAAAGACCGCCAATTGTCGGTTATACAGGCCACATTCCAGGAGCGAAGGGAGAAGTCGCGCTTTCCAAGAGATACGCTCAAGCCGCTAAAAAAGGATTAGAACGTGTCCAAAGGGAACGTGAAGAAAGGCTCAGTAGGACTAAAGATATGAGCGCTGTTGAGAGAGTCCTTGACAATGCGTATCTCGACGAAACAGGACACACGCGTGCATAAGATGACACAGGAATATGGTTTCTAACTGCAGCATACAAAATGAAATAAAAATGCGTTTAGACATTAGAGAAGAAAAACTGAAAGCAATAAATGTAGTAAGAGTAACCCAAGTAGCAAGGTAATGTCAAATGACATCTTAATAATATCTTGATGTTAAAACATCACCTTGCTATTTAGGAAATGTTATAAGTATGATACAAAATATTTCCAAACATATAACTTCCGAAATTTTGCCATGCAGACTTTGTTGTACTTAATGTAAAATGAGTAAATGAAAATAAGTAATGTTTTTACATTACTTATTTTTTTTGACAATATCGAAAGAAATGAGTTAATACAAATAATTATGTTAGAGAATAATCTAGTTGCAAAATTATTTATGTTTGAATCACGAAAGCGTTCCAAAATATATAAGGATTACTTTTTGTATTCTAGTACTTTGAGTTATAGGAGTAATACTTAATAGATTTCACTCTTTCCTAATTTTCGAACATAAATAATTTACAATAGATTATTTGAATTTAGAAACAGATAGCGTAATTATTAAAGTATGGAAATGTATTCCTGCGCGAAGTAATAAGTTTATTAATTTTTGAAGATGTATGTATTGAAATATATTGAATAGATGAAACAGAGATTTTTAAATCAAGGGGCTCTCCTCAACTAATCTTCAAAAAGAAGTATGATAATCGAGAAACAAGCTAGATTGTGATTTAGAGAATCATTAAACGTATTTATCTTGATACTTGTTCATGTAGAAATAAATCTACAGCAGAAATAAATCTACAAATACATGAATTACTCCAAATGCTTTAAGCTTCCAATGTTCAATAAATTTCTGCACATACATGCACCACGTACGTATATACATGTACACGATCTTTTCACATTCAAAACATGGAAAGAATACAATTTTTGGGAATATTTCTACTGGGAAATATTTTCAAAGAAATGGATAGAAACGATTAATATATACGTATACATGCTAGTTCCATTTCGGCTCAAATAAAGGAAGACGTACGTCTAAACTTTAAAATTTACGAAATGGATTATAGCCGATGTACATGCTAAACAACATTCTAAAGCGCATGATACTTAATCGTAAATGTTTATTTGCTAAAGTATAACCATGTGATCTTTGCCTGTGTAAATACAAACTGAATCTTAAACTTCCGTCCTATTTAATAAAGTAATGAACAATATAAAAATGTATATATATATATATAAAATAGTATAATTTTTACATTACACTAATAAGATATTTATGAAAGATTTATGGGAAATAAATATTTGTATTAGTATCATATGATGTACATTCGGTATTATGATTCTTTCCTGGGTTCGACGATTACCTTCTGCGCTGTGGCAGCCTACTCATTCTTTCCATTTCCAACTGCACAATGTTCTTCCAGCGGTCCATATCTAGCGCCGTTTGTCCATAAGATAAGGTCATAAACTTGGCGAAAACCATCAGTGCGTGTAGATTGTCCCTATTTATATTCCTGTTTTCATTGAGTAACTTCACAAAATCTTCTTGAATGATCTGAATATAATAAAGAAATTATATATTAAATTAAAATAAACTGAGTGAATATAGATGTTTGTGTCAAAATATGACATACTTTTGCCATTTCTCCGTTAAAATTGAAAGATCCTGTATGCTTCAAGGTTTCTATGTATTGCCGAATATTAACTAATCGATTATCATCTTTTAAATACTGATGTGCAGCTTCAATTACCTGACTGTATAAATTTTCCGTGTCTGCATCAACATTTAAAACAATTTGCATAGGACACTATAAATGAACATTTAACTAATTAATATTCATTCAGAAAAAGTAATATTTTTTATCCTGTAAATAAATACTTACAGGAATGAACGATTTCACGTCAGAAAAGATTAGAATTGGAATGTCCGTTTCGTATTCTATTGTATAAAACTGGAAGTCGTATTTCAGTTTTTGAAACATAAGTAGATCGGAGAGAGCTTTATAATTCTCCCTGCCAGTTGCAGTAAGTGTACCAGGGGTTAAGCTTGTCTCGTCTAATACAAGGTGCGTGTTATTGCTTAGTTGGAGAATACCACTTGTCAGTCTATTACATTCGTAATCCTTCCTAAAAATAAACAATGCAAATTTATTCACTGACATACGTGCATTCAATAAGATAAACTTACTTCGGGATTAAAGCTAGTTCATTCAAATTCTCCAAAGTTATTTCCAAAAAGTGGCTTTTGTTTACAAATAATCTTAAAAAGTTATAAAACTCCTTTGGAAAAGTCTTAAATTTATTCGCTGGAAAATTCGTTATATTCAGCGGAAATGCACCGAGACAAACAAATTCTCTCCTCGTATACCTAAAAATATTATAAAGTATAACATGACGAATACAGGTAAATATGTACATTTCTATGAACGTATTAAAACAAAATGCATACACTGTAGAAAGCAAGTGGCATATCAAGTAATCCGCAGCTAAAGTATCTCCAAACAGCAACTGACTCAATATTATATGCAAATCACCTCTAATGAGCTGTGCTTTAGATATAATTTCCGGAGCATTTACAATTTTAGATTTTGTAAGCTCAATTATTTTTACTGCGTGTAGCCGAGGTACTAGAGAAGTTGGTGGATTATGAGTTTGTATTTCGGCTTCGTTCATCTCATCATCGGAACTTTGAATTGTACTTAATAATGGATCCAACGATATAAATCCTATTACATCTATAACTTGGTTCAATTTTAAGACAGTCCCATTGTAAAGCTAAAAAGAATGCATTATAATAATATCAATTGAAAAAAAATATATATTGAGTTTTTTAAAAAAATAATTTACCTTTACTATACAAGCTTTTCCACCATCGATTGGAATTGGAAAGTTCAATATGTGATCTTCTGATAACACACTTTGAACTTTTGCACTACCTTCAGCATCGGTCGTATTTACATCATTATCTGCAGAGACTTTCTCTTTTTTAGTAACAGGTTCCGAACAGTCCATTTCCTCTAAGTCGTTATCATCTAGACTCCTTTTATTGGTACTGTCATTGTGTATCATTGTATGAGGTGCCTGTGTGTTCATGCTCTCTTCTTTTGCCCAGTCATTTAATCCAGGTATAGAGATCATGACATAAGTTTGTCTTTCCGAGTTTTGATTATTCTTGGAATATAATAAAATTTCTTCGTGCGGCTGTATCGAAATAAAAGTTAATAAATTACTTACACTGTATAAAAATATCGGAAACATACTAAGTGTAGACTACACTTTCCTAATCTTAGCTTCTATGCTCAGATAGAAAGAATTGAATATATTCATAAAAATGCATAGCATATTCTTATGACATCTATAAATAATCTTACATCCTAGCAATAATGTATGCAGTATTATACATGAGATAAGCTGTTCTCAAAGCATCCCACACCTGAACTGCATATTTTTTTAATCTAGACCCTGCTTCGTATCCACTGCTCATATGGGAACAGAGATAAGAGGCTTATTTTCTTATAAAAGGCCTATTTTTTTAGCTAAACTTCTTGTACAGTTCATCTTTTCTCTTTTTCTCTCCGTCGAGAAAAAAAAAAGATAAACCATACAAGAACTTTAGCTAAAAAGAATAGACCTAATGCAACATCTCTACAGAGTCACATAATAGTTCTACAGAATACATATATTCCTTCCATAGAAGGATAAAACAGAGATAATTTACCAGACATCGAGCTGCATCCATGTACATTCCACATCTAATGTCACTCTCCCCAGTGTTTGTGTTCTTCACTTCGTATTGTTTAAAATAATACTCAGGATTGTACATATCCTGTATCATCCCTCGGAATCTCACCAATTCTTTGTCTTTGATGTCGTGCAATTGAGCATTGTTTAATAAAGGTATTTTCGTCAGTATATCTGGACTTTTTAAAATCTCCTGACAGTTCGATTGATTTGAGACATAGTATTCAGGTGTCCAATCTCTTACTTCAACCGCTAGAATAAAAAAAATTCTATATAAAGAATGCTTTTCAGCAAAAGCTCTAGTGTAACACAGTAAACTAATCATCCTTGTTTAATACTGGCAAACAACAAGGATATAATATGGCTATGTTCGACAGAGAAAGCAGCTCTGGATTGTAAAATTCTTTTATATAATTAGTCTTGCTCTTAGAGTTTCTCACTGAGAATCTAAATACATAAACCAATTATATTAAAGAATTTTACAATGGTTGCAAAGCTGCTTTTTCTGCTGAACACAATTAATGTATCATTTATCTTTTGTTAGAAAGCAACCATTAGATCTGTTTTTACAACTGAATATGTACCATTTGTATTATTTAAAGTAAAACAGATAAAGATTTGAAAATTAACGAATGTGAAAAGGAAAGTTGTAGTACAATTATGAGTGACATGAGTATCTTTTATGGAACAAATCTGAATAGATTCTGGTCGGAATTATTAGTTTTTTTTAGAAAACGCAACAGAAATCTAGGGAATAATTGAAAAATTCCGATCACAATAATTCCATTCCAAATAATTCCACAATACGTTCAGCAATAAAAAAAACAAACATATAATATAGTAAAACAAAGGAATTTCTTTAACCTTGCACAATGCAAAAATTTCCTGCATATTTCAACATATAAAATTGCGTTTTGTACATCTCTTTACGTTTTTTGTACGTCCCTTTTTTTCTTTCAAAAAGAAAATCTAAATATACATTAGTTTTACTCAAAATATGACATGTGATCGAAAAAATTCAACAGCAGTGTATTAATTTCTCGTGTATACATACATGTCATCTTGCAAAAATGTGTTATCTCCCAGTATAAGTAAAATCAATGGAGAGATATAAGCTGATGAGTCTCCGCAAGATTAAATTCCTCGTTCTTCTCGTTCTCGATTCAACAAAGATCAACAAAGCGCAAAAATTTGGCGGCAAAACGTAGATCATGAGATCCCCACTTGCAATAGTGCGACATTTGTGACAACTCCAGGTGGCGCTGAAGACTTTTTTTTTAGAGGGCAGCT